TACTACCAACTGAGAATGAGGGTGACCATAAACAAAGAGTTAAAAAACATTTTAAAAAACGACACAAACCCGGAACTGGCTATATAGTGTTAGTTTAGTAGGGACAGATAGCCTGATACAGATTAATCAGCCTCATTACAGCTTGGAAGAAACTCTTATCAAAATGCAGTCTGTTTGATTCCACTGGCACTTCCTCTAAGGGACAAAATGTATTTGATTTTGTCATTTTAGAGTAGGAAACATTTGTTATTGATTTAGTTTCCCCTCTTATTGCTTAATGGAGTTCTAGAACATATTTTGCCCTGAGGGTATCAGAATAATAATTTTTGTGATACCTTTCAGACGTCTGAAATAGGATTTGATTATGTAATCCCAGTGGTCTCTAGATCCTGATCTTTCTGGAGTGACATTTTTAGGCCTTAGAGCTAAGGGTTGGGCATAGGTTGTAGGAAGGTGCTAGAGAAGTTAAAGGTAGAGGAGAAATACTTAAAGAGCACATCATAGTACTGGAGAATGTTTCTGGAAGCCCTCAGTGGCCAGTTGTGTACCAGATATCCAACTGTATTGTTATTATTTATTTTTTTAAGATTTTACTTGTTTAATTTCTGTACCCAGTGTGGGGCTGGAACTCACAACCCTTAGATCAAGAGTCACATCTTCCACCAACTGAGCTGGCCAGTCACCCCCAACTGCATTATTTTTGTTTGAAATAAACTCAAGCCATATATCTCCACAAATTCTTAGTATTATAGGAGCCTTTCAGGACATTCCTCTAAGACGTGTGAATTCTGAGCGTGACTCTGCTGGCTGTAAACACCTTTAGCCTCAGAATGGATGTTAAGTTCTGTGTGTTGGCAGTTTTCCAGCATTTACTAATTAGGTTATGCCTACTTAAATACTCCTGGCAGTTTCCCTTGACCACTGCATTCTTCACACTCTGCCCTAACCTGTTTTGTATGCAGTCTGCCTTTGGGCTCCGCTTTGACATTTATAGCTTTTCTTTCAAAAGAAGTTTTTAATGAAGTATTGATTTGTATATTCTTTAGTTAATAGTTGTTGATTATAAAAGCAATTCACTGTAGAAAATATAAAGAGAAAAATTTGCTTTTCATCCTGCCACCAGTGAACAAATGTTAATATTTTAGTGTATTCTGGTCTAGTCTTTTTTTTTCTGGGTTTAGGTGTTGTGTGTAGGGGTGGGAGAGAGAAAAATAAGTGTGAATGTTATTTTTTAAAATGAGAAGCTTCTTATATTTGCTACTGGGCACAGAGAGTAATTTTTAACAGGAGCTTTTTTTTTTTCCAGTACAATTTTAGAATCACAGAAAAGTTGGAAAGATAGTACAGAAATTCCCACATGCCCTTTACCTGGCCTTCCCTAATGTTAATCTTATGTAACTAAGAAATTAACACTGGCACAATGCTATGAACTACAGACTTTATTTGGACTACCCTACTTTATCCACTCATGTCCTTTTTTCTGTTCCAGAATCCAATCCAGGGTACCATATTGCATTTTAAAAGAACAGGTTTTTTCCTTTTTTTTTTTTTTCTTTTTTTCCGATTAACTTTATACCATGAACTTTTTTTTTTTTTTTTTTGTCATTAGGTGTTCTTTAAACAATGCTTATTAATGACCCCATAGAAGCTCATCAGATGCGTAGGTGTACTCTAATGTAAATGGTTAACTTTGTGTGTTGGGTGGCTTCTTGTGAAGTTGAAGAGTTGTAGAAAACACACACAAACCAGCCATTTTTTTTAAGTGGTGTACTTGAATCAGGTGATTTTAATGCTAGATTATAACAATAATTTTGAATGCATTACCCTAAAATAAGAAAATAATCAGGTTTATTTTCCTTTGAGAACATGTTTAAGAGCATCTTAGGTTGAATTAAATGCAGACACTGATGAGCTATTCATGAAGCAGTTCGTTTGAGGGTTATTTAGAGTTGCTTGGCATTTGCCTGACCTTACTTTAGGCAGATTGTGTACATTTTATATACATAAATCAATATTTAGCTTTTTTACTAGCATGGTACCCACCTGTGTTTAGAAATACAGATTTATGATATATTCTACCTATACATTTAAATATTCAGTTTTGAAAATTACCACTTTATTTCCTTTTCTGATGTCCTTCATTAATGTTTATTTAGTTCTAGGTTAAGTATATAAAAGACAAAGTGAAGATACCTAGAGATTTTCTTGCATGGCTTGTATTATTTTGTAGATGTTTACAGCTTGATTGATATTGAATAAGTTTCATATGTAACATGAAGTTTGAAGTGGGTGCCTGGGTGGCTCAGTGGGTTAAGCCTCTGCCTTTGGCTCAGGTCATGATCTCAGGGTCCTGGGATCCAGCCCCGCATCAGGCTCTCTGCTCAGCAGGGAGCCTGCTTCCCCCTTTCTCTCTCCCTGCCTCTCTGCCTACTTGTGATCTCTCTCTCTGTCAAATAAATGAATACAATCTTTAAAAAAAAGAATGAAGTTTGAAGTTAGAGTGGCTTGCATTTAGTGTTTTGTTGTTTACAGAATTAAGCCAGATGCTTTTTAAGAACTATTTGGTGTACCCTACTAATAAGCAAAATACTGTAAAATTCATACTTAGGTTTTACCTCTTACTGTTGCTCTGTTCAGTGAAACCTCATAGGTTGCATAGGTAGAGTTCAGTCTGGGATAGTGGACTACTTACTCTCTATTAGGAAATATATAAACTAGAGGTTTATTATGAGGGTAAGTAATCATTTGTTAATTTGGCACAGTTGTATGAATTAATATGTGGAAATGACTGAGTTGAAGAATATGAACATGGAATTCTGATACACAGTACTTAGAGAAAATTGAATGCACTATGTCTGTAAGATGAAATATATTTATTCCAATTTTCAGAGTTAGTGATAAATATTTTCTGGAGAATGCCTCATACTTTCTTATTGCTATCTTAAAATTACATGTCGTCTTTCTGTAGTGGATTTTTAGTGGAGAGAGCTCTGTGACCTGTTACATAGAATGTTATCACTTTGATGTTACTGGAGGATGGTATTTGATTTCCTTGTACATATTTTTATGTGACAGCATAAAGTACTAAACTGAGAGTTTCTCTGAGAGTTCCCAAGGTTGATGATAATTTTTCCTACGATTGAAGGTGCTTAGATTGTTGCCATTGGTACTGATTACATTGTTGAGTTAGCTAAGGCAGAGTGACTCATCTGTTGGGTTTGCACATCTCTAGTTGTGTTTTTCTATCTTAGGTCAGAGATTATGGACAGACTTCATTGTATAAATTTCTTTTTTTTTTTTTTAAGGTTTTATTTATTCATTTGAAAGAGAGTAACACAGGGAGAGAGGAAACACAGCAGGGGGAGTGGGAGGGGGAGAAGCAGGCTTCCTGCTGAGCAGGGAGCCCGATGTAGAGCTTGATCCCAGGACCCTGGGATCGTGACCTGAGCCGAAGGCAGATGATTAACAACTGAGCCACCCAGGCGCCCCCATTGTATAAATTTCATCACCAGTGTTTCTGGGTATAAGTATATTCCAAGGTTATAGATGACTCCAGGATTGAATAATGACCAGTATAATTAAAGGCAAAGTGGTGTTTTATATCATCTTCCTTTTTAATTTCTCTTGTTTTATTTTTATCAAGCCATTTTAGTATCATTTTCTGAGTATTTGCTAAGTATACACATAAAATTGTTGATAGGTAGATAAATGGTAAAGGTATAGCTATCGATTCTTTTTCATTCTTAAAAGTTAAAGTGTATGATTGAAAATGACTTTTTCCGGGGCACCTGGGTGGCTTAGTGGGTTAAGCCTCTGCCTTCGGTTCTGGTCATGATCTCAGGGTCCTGGGATCGAGCCCTGCATCAGGCTCTCTGCTCAGCGGAGAGCCTGCTTCCCCCGCTCTCTCTACCTACCTCTCTGCCTACTTGTGATCTCTGTCAAATAAATAATTTTTTTTTAAATGGAAAATTATTTTTTAAAAAGGACTTTTTCCAATTCAGTGTGAAATATGAGATTAAAGTGGGTAACTTTTTAGGTCTCAAAGGAGTATCTATAGGCAAGTCTAGGTGCTGTTGGGAGAATGCTTATGTTTATTGATGGATATTGTGATTGATAGGTTAGACTTCGGGTGTCATAGACAGTAAAACATCATGAACTGTATTCTTTGGAATTAGAAATTCTCCTTGTACGGACTCTAGATTTTCTGCTTATATAGGACAGTATTTTGGTAAGATATTAGTGGCATCTTTAAGATTATAAGTGAGAACGTGAACTGTGGAAGTGCAAACTGACCCTTCATGAAATGGCATGAGCCTATCTTTCTACATATCTCTTAATATTTTCCCATGCATACCCTACATCCCAGCTGTAAAGAATTATTTGCTGCGTCTCGAGCAGGCCATGTCCTTTTATGCTTCCATGCTTTTGCCTGCATTCTTCTTGATCTGGATTGCCCTTGCCTTAGCAAACTCCCTTCAGTCTTTTAGGACTTGACTTAGAGGTTACCTTTCTCAGGAGGCCTCCTGTCACTTGTCTTTGCTTCTGCTGTGAGATGTTTTGATGGCACTTGTGTATGGGTTTGTAACTCAATCACGTTTTCATTTTCTTGTCTGCCTCTTTCACCAAATAATAAGCTCCTTGAAATCAGGGAATATGTCTGTATCTTATTTCTATCATTTAACTCAGTGTCTGGCAAAGAGAATTGGTGCTCAGGAAATAACTTGTTGAATGTTTCAGTATGAAGATGGAAAAAATGAATGAACTCAATTTTTTATTTTTTATTCTCTCCTTAATATTGATAATTGTTTATAAATTATTGTTACTTACTAAGTAATTTTTTGCTAGCTTCAGTCAAACAACTATAATGAAATAAGGAAATGTTACTTGCTTTGTTAATATTTTAGATTTATCCACAGGAAAATGAATTGTTAACAGTTTAAATATACATAGGTATATGCTTAATTTTTCTTGATCATGCTGGTTTTACTTATCTCTTACAGAGAAAACAGAAATGAGAGGAATCTGGTTTAAATTGCAGTACCGGGAATTTAGATTAGACATAAAGAGTTTCCAGAAAATAAAGTACCAGATATTGAATGAAGTGTGTAAGTAATGTAATCAATTTTTTGAAGAATTTAAGAAGGAGGGTGGTGTGGTTAGATGGCTATGAATTGCAAAGTAGATCACCAACATAGACCCTAGTAAAATAAAAAACCTTTATAAAGGGAGAAAAATCTCCGTGTATGGACTTAAGAATATGCAGATACAACCATATTCATAGATAGATGCTTAAAAAATAGTTGGGTACTTTGTGTGTGTGTGTGAGTGTGTGTGTGTATGTGTGTGATTGTGGTACTTCAGTTTTCAGCTAACAAGGAAACTATGTTGCAGGTGTCCTTACTTTTCACAGAATGGCTCTGGTTTTGGTGACTAGCAGAAATACACTGAGAAATCTCTCCCCTTAGCTTGTTTTTTGTTTGTTTCTTAACTCTTCATCAGAGTAATATAAAGAATAAAAAGTCCTTAGCAGTGTTAAGAATAATCAGTAAACCAATATGTCCCAATAACTAGTCAGACCATTGACATAAAGAACAAGTTTTTTGAATGTCATTCTCTTGATTGTTTTAATGTAATTAAATGTGGCAGTTAGCTGTGCCCCAATTTTAGAGTTATATTGCTATGCTTCTAACTATAGATATTCTGTCCTGGCTCCATTTGAACAGAACTACTGTAGTATAAGCCAAATTCACCCTCAGTGCTAGTGAACTGCAAGAGCAAATATACCTTCCTAAGCACCAAATTTATAATCACACTCATGAATAGAGTTCAGTGTTCTCTTTGCTTGTCATTCTGCAAGAATCATATTGGAATAATTTAAGACAGCTTTACTAAATTTATTAATGTAACTCTTGTTATGAGGATAGTGCTTAAGTTTTAGGCTTCTATGCTTATAGTGGAAAAGGCTCCTTTGTAATACAAGAGACAGGATTTTACCTGTAGCAGTGATACAATAATTCCTTGTCTTTTTAAACACTATATATTTTTCTTAGTGTTTTGATAGCTACAATTTGGTTTTCACAATAACTCTGTGAAATAGATATTCTAATCTTATAAATGAGGAAATTTAGGCACAGAATGGTTGACCGACTGCCATCTGAAACATCGTTTTAAAATAATTATTGTTATTATTTCAGTGGCTAGCATTTACTAATTGCTTACTGTATACTAGGCACTGGTTTAAGCTTTTTATAAATAGTAATTAATAAGAGCTTAGGCTTTAGAGTCAGATTTGGATTTAATTTGGCTCTCCTTATCAGCTATTGACCTTGGAAAAGCTATTTAACTTCTTCAAGTCTTGGTTTCTTCATTTGGAACATAGAAATAATGATAGTACCTACTTCATAGAGTGGTTGTATAGATTGAGATAATCCAAGTGAATCTATGTCTAGTGTACAATGAAGACTTTAAAATCAGTTTGCTATAGAAAAATAAGGTGTTAATAGATAATACTTAGTATAATTTTTAGCTTCTTGATAATTTTCCTGACAAAATCATTGTATTCTTCTTGAGTATGGAGTCATAGTTGATCTGATATACCTATTTTACAAAGTAACTTCCATGTTACAACAAGATTATAGCTCCATATAGTGTCTATAGCTACCTCCTCTTCTCACTACCTCCAAATCACCTTTTGGTTCTAAGTCTTTTGCTAGTGAGAAGAAACCAAAGACAGTTAACAAGTCATGGATAGTCTCTAAAGCATTCATGTTTCAGAGTCAAATGCAGGACACCTGTTTAGGTTATGTTCATTCCAGGAGTGCTGTGGTATATCAGTTATTAGGAACTCAGAATGTGTTTTAGTATAGAAAGAAGCCCATAGGGGCTCCTGGGCGGCTCGTTAAGCTTCTGCCTTCCGCTCACATCATGATCCCAGGGTCCTGGGATCGAGCCCCACATTGGGCTCCCTGCTCAGTGGGAAGCCTGCTTCTCCCTCTACCACTCCCTCTGTTTGTGTTCCCTCTCTCACTGTGTCTTCTATCAAATAAATAAAATCTTAAAAAAAAAGCCCATAAAGTCTTTTAATCCCTGACACAAGACTGACATGCTGAATATTTGCATTGATAAACAGTAAAAGCAAGTAAAAACTTCACAGTACTTTGGCAGTGCTAATAATCAAGGAAATAAAATGGTAAAACTGAATATATATTGATACTCAAAAAGTATGGTGGAATAGGAAGCATTAGTAATCTAGCTCCCTACCTAGGCAACAGTTGCACTGGCAGAATCTTTTATAGCTGCTTTGGTACTTCCAAGTTATTGAAGTTATTGGAGACTTGCATGTACCAGCAGGCTTGGCTATAAATTGTGATTAATTTCAATCAGCTTCAGTTCTTAGCACAGCTACCCATCTTTTCCTCCCAGCCCTGTGCAGCTTACACACAGCTTGTGAGAGCCAAGATAGGCAAAAAAGATCATCTTTTCCAAATGTCAGAGATCTGTACTTGGGTCACTGATTGCTGCTTCTGATCACAGAAGTACACACAAAAGAAGTGGGCAACCACTCCGGAGAACAGTATGGAAGTTCCTCAAAAAGTTGAAAATAGAGCTACCTTATGATCCAGCAATCACACTACTGGGTATTTACCCTAAAGGTACAGATGTAGTGATCCGAAGGGGCACATGCACTTGAATGTTTGTAGCAGCAATGTCCACAATAGCCAAACTATGGAAAGAGCCTAGATGTTCATCAAAACACGATGGACCACATCTTCTTTACCTGCATAGTATTCCATTGTGTGTGTGTATACAGCAAAATAAGTCAGTCAGAGAAAGACACTTATCAAATGATCTCTCTAATATGAGGAATTTGAGAGGCAGATTGGTGGGGAGTAGGGAAGAAAAAAATGAAACAAGATGTGATCAGGAAGGAGACAAACCATAAGGGACTTTTAATCTCGAGAAACAAACTGAGGGCTGCTGGTAGGTGGGGAGATAGGGATAGGGTGGCTGGGTTATGGACATTGGGGAAGGTATGTGCTATGGTGAGTGCTGTGAAATGTGTAAGCCTGATGATTCACAGACCTGTACCCCTGGAGCAAATACATTATATGTTAATTAAAAAAAAAAAGTGGGCAACCAACTTTGTTGTTGCAACCCCCATTGTTGCAAGCCCCTCCCCTCCAGCTAAAGTGACTTCTAGGATTTTAAGGACTAGCACTGTCTTTTGCCCCATTCATTTTCCTCTTTTTTCCCTTTGGGAAACAGACATTAAAGACTACAATATTCAAAAACAACTGCATGTATAGGGAAAATTTGAAGGTGACCTCACATGTCCAGAAAAAGGCCCAGAAAAGATCTGAGAAGACAGGACCTTAAGTGCACATGTCAGACTGACTCTTGGCAGAGAGCCAGCCTACAACAAATTTGAAAAAAAGAAAAAAATAAGAACAATCACAAGAAACAGCAAAAGGGAGGAGAAGGAGAGAATCTGGTTTCCAGAACTACCTATTTTTAGATTAAAATGTCTAGTTTTCAGCAAGAAAATCACAAGGCATACAAAGAAATAAGAAAGGAGGGGCCATTTAAAGGAAAAAAATAAATCAGTAATTGCCCCTGAAAAAGTCCTGATGATAGTAATATTACAGAAAGATGAAAACCAGCGGTCTTAAAGATGCTCAGAGAATTAAAGGAAAATGTGGAAAACAAAAATACCAATAAAGAGAAAACAAAAAGAAATCAAATAGAAATTCTGGAGCTGAAAAGTGTAATAACTAAAATGAAAAATTCAGTAGATTCAAAGGCATGTATGAGTAGGCAGAGCAAAGAGTCAGCAGACATGAAGATGGGCCAATGGAAATCATCAAGTCTGAAGAATGGAAAGAAAACAGATTGAAGAAAAACGAAGAGAGCCTGAGAGACCTGTGGGACACAGTCAAGTGGAGCAACATACATATTACGGAAGTGCTAGAAAGAGATGAGAGAACCGGGAGGAGAGACTATTTAAAGAAATAAGGGCTGAAAACTTCCCAAATTTTATGAAAGACACATATAAATATCCAAGGAGCTCTTTGCACTCTAAATAAGATTAAGTCAAAGAAACACACACCAAGATGCATGACAGTAAACTTCCTAAAGCCAAAGACAAGGACTCTTTTCTTTTTAAGATTTTATTTATTTGAGAGAGAGAGACAGAGACAGAGCACGATTGGGGGGTAGGGGCAGAGCAAGAGGGAGAAGGAGGCTCCCCGCTCAGTGGGGAGTCCAATGTGGTGCTTGATCCCAGGACTCTGAGATCATGACCCAAGCTGAAGGCAGATGCTTAACTGAGCCACCCCGGTGCACCCCAAAGACAAGGAATCTTGAAAACAGCAGGAGAGAAGCAAATCATCACCTATAAGGGATCGTCAATAAGATTATTAGTGAATTGCTCATTAGAAACTTGGGAGGCCAGGTGGCAGTGGGCTTACATATTCATAGTGCTTTAAAAAAACAAACAAACAAAAACAACTGTCAACCAAGAATTCTGTATCTGGCAAAACTGTCCTTCAGAAGTGATGGGGTAATTAAGACATTCCCAGAAAAGCAAAAGCTGAGGAAGTTCATTACCACTAGACCTGCCCTGTAAGAATATGTGCAAGGGAGTCCTGCAAGATGAAACAAAAGGAGAGTAGGCAGTAACTTGAACCATATGGAAAAATGAAGATCTCACTAAAGATAAATACAGGGGAGTTATAAAAGCTAGTACTATTGTAACAAAGATTTGTAACTGCACTTTTTGTTTTCAATATGATTAGGAAATTAATACATTTTAAAGGGGAAAAAAAGCTAGTATTATAATTTTGGCTTGTAATTCTTTTGTTTTCTATATAAGAGACTAATACAGAGGTGCCTACATGGTTCAGTTAAGTGTCTGCCTTTGGTTCAGGTCATGATTCCAGGGTCCTGGGATCAAGTCCCACATTGAGCTCCCTGCTCAGCTGGGAGTCTGCTTCTCCCTCTCCCTCTGCCTGCTGCCTCCCTCCCCACCACTGTGCTTTTTCTCTCTTTCTTCTCTCAAATAAATAAATAAAATCTTAAAAAAGAGAGAGAGACTAACACATTTAGA